GATTTGGTGTCCGTAATAGCGGAGTACAAGAGGAAGAAGATTGTTTTGTCTCTAAACTTATGAAGTAATATGTAAGTACACAAACATAAAGTTCCTAACGTAGTCTCACGAACCGGACAAAGATCCGGCTGCAAGAAGAAAATTCTTTCTCTTTGGCCATCGTCGCTTGATAAGAAATAGCACACAAACTGCAGTTACAAACATGACTGCAAAACGCATGTTGGAAAACAAGATTAGTAAACTTTTCTTGACGTTTCGTATGTTTCGACATACATCTTCAGAAGTGACAGTTAATAACACACGTGGTGACTAAGTTTAAATTTAAGATAAGTAACTAATTAACAAAACAACGAACAAAAGTTGAGAAGACAAAAAATTTTCATATATAAAGATGCCAACTTATACAGATAAAGCTTATCGCTGCTGACATTATCGTTTACAGTAGGTTTAAGTTCTTGAATTAATAGAGTCCCCTTTATCTTGCAATAGAGAGATTTAGCAAGAGGACGGGAACGTCATTTCAGAACGAGAGAGCGCGCGGAAGAGTCTGGACGCGACACTATTCGACTTCCGTTGTTAGTCTTGCCGTTCTCCCAAACAAGTTCAGGACGTCACTTCGCTGGTTTTCCCGTCGCGATCAGAACGTCTGAGATTTCCGTTAATTGTGCACTTGTAAATCGATCCAAACGAGATAATACTGTTTGGAAGTATTTCAAAACTCTTGTTCAGGATAATTGGGTACCTTTCTTTGTTTTAATCGGTGTAGTTTTGAAAACTTGCCGCTTCAATATGCTGGATTCCCGAAAGGAAACTGGAACACAATCGTTGGCAAGCGATCCAAGATTTCAAGACTCAGTTTGCTTTTGAATGAGCAAGGCTTTAGACAATAAAAGGGCTTTTCTTTAATACATTTCCTTAAGCCTATGTGAAAACTCTAAGAACTGGATGCTGTTGAATTTTATCGTAAATCGAGCCATCAATAACCATGCTGCATGTTGAACTTCGGAGCGGTCAATCAAATGAACTATCACGAAGCTTACATACCGTAAAAATTTTTTATTTATTTGTTGTCGTTGTTGTTTTTACCGATAATGAATGAATGCTTTGTGGAATGAAGTCAGAGATAAAGAATATGAGAATTTTCTCGGGTTTGCACTTTTTTATCAAGAAAGTCGTGCTCACGCAAAATGACAATCAATTTTATTTTGACACGACTTTCTAAATCAAGTAATATAATTCAGTCTTGAACAACTTCGTCGGAAAAGGAAGAAACATAACAAAAGAAAACAAACAAAAAACCGAAACCAAGTCTTAGGATAAGCCTAACCGTTTCATGGGTGACTTGCATGAATTCTTTCAGCGTTAAACACGAACTCTTCATAAACAACTTTGTAGTTGGGTCGTCGCTTGGTTTCTACATGGTTTCGCCATAATCCCTTTCAAAATGCTTTGCACCTCTAAGTATTTAATGTTCAAAAGACATGTACCGTCATGAATGAATAGAAATATTCAGTAAACAAGGGAAAAAACGATGATGATTTCCAAATCTCACTTCGTAAAATTGCGAAGAAAGATGAGCAGTGCTAAGATCTAATGGCACGAAACGAAAAGTCAGCAACACAAATCGCAAAAAAAAAAATGTAATGGGCTCTAAAATTCGATACAAGAATTAACAGACACGAGTCTTACCTGGAATGGATCAAGTATAGAGTTTAATCGCCCATGTGGTTCGTATATTATTATAGTCATCTAGCTTTATGCAACTACAATTATCCTCTGTTTGCGCTTGTTGCATCACTCTCAAAGAGGATAGTTTCGTTGTCCTTAAAGCTGTTTGTGAAAATGAAAATTTGTGTTGACGATCTTTGAAAAGCCGAATTTAGGCTATTGAAGAATAGATATTGCGCTGACGTCTCGTTGCAACGACTGCTAAATCACTTCTGGAACATAACGGGGCGACGTTCTCGACCCAGTTTCTTACTGGTATTTTTGCTGCGCGCGCCGTTGTCAACTGACGTTCCCGTCTTCTTGCTAAATCTCTCTAATGAGTATCAGGACGACCTTTTGCTAATATCTCAAAGTGGTCTTATTTCATGTTGTGACTAGTTGACGTGACGGGCACTTGTGCGTCCTTTAAATTAAAATGTTCAATTTTCCTTTCATGCAATCCACGTTTTGTTTTTCTAATGCAAAACTCCGGGCAGTCCCAACAGCTAGCCTTACAAACAGCCTTTGACATTTGGGAACGGTTGATCTTGTATTTGCACGGAAAGAAGGACTTGATGCGATAAGCGCTAGCGCTCTGAAAAATCACAATAAGATCAATGCAACCATAAAATTTATTTGGTTATCTCAACTAAGTTGAAATTGTAAATAGGCCACCGTAACGAATAAAAAAGCTGACGTTTCGAGCGTTAGCCCTTCATCTGAGCGTTAGCCCTTTCGAGCGTTAGCCCTTCGCTCTGACGAACAGCTAACGCTCGAAACGTCAGCTTTTTTATTCGTTACGGTGGCCAATTTACAATTTCAACTTAGTTGATATAACCAAATTACCTTGTTACCCCCACCGACGCAGCAGCACAGTTTATTTAGAAACTTTCAGCCTTTATTCATAAAATTTTTTAATACAGGTCTTAAGTGGTTTGGTAACAATTTTACTTTGCATCCCTAAAAAAGGTAAAACTAAGACTGTTTTCTTTTTGAGAGCTGAGGTGGTTGGATCAATTGGTCTGTTTTGCTGTCTGCTCAAAACATCATTGATGCTGTAATTTACAACTCCAGCAGGATAACCATTCTGTAGCAACAATTTCCTCAGTTCACCCAGACAGGATCGCAAAAGAGAAGGTGACGAACAGATGCGAAAGCTACGAAAAGTGAGTGTGCTGACGAGGTTTACTTTGTATTTTCTAGGTGTGAAGGAATCCCATTTTGTGTACAGGCCGGTAAATGTCTTCTTTCGGTAAATAGATGTCGAGAAAGTGTGATCGTGTCGTTTGATGAGGATGTCCAAGAAAGGGATTGTACTGTTCTCTTCAAATTCATCGGTGAATTTGATATTTGCGTGACAGTTATTGAGGTTATAAAAGAATTTCTTCCAATAGATTTATTGCTCAGCTCGATCGCTCGCTCGCTCCAGATGCCGCAGTAAGCTTAAGTTGAGAGTCTGTATGATGAGAAATGCCTGATACTAAATAACTTAGCGTTCCAGCAAAGAATTACTCTTCGGGTTCCACGCACTGACCGTCATGTTGGCAGGCGCACATTCAAACGGTTGGACTCCAACTGGCGCTTGCGCCTTTGTCATCGGTAGTAACAAAGGTCATATTGAACTACAAAGAAAAATATTCTTTGGATAATTTTTCCCTTTCTCGTTTAGCCAGTATCACTCTTGTTAAGCAAATCTAAATCGTAATTTTTCACCCTTTATTGCTTTTGCTTGTTGAGCTAATAGGTAATTTTATTTCACAGGAAGAATTTCCCGATATGTATATGGACTACATGCTGTCCAATTTGGAAATAAAAGGATGAAGAAAAATTCTGTAGACAACCAAAATTGGACGAGGCCATAGGCTGAGTCCAATTTAGCTCTCAGAGGAATTTTTCTAATTCAATTTATTCAAAAATTGGACAAGCATGTAGTCCTCCTACCTACTAACAACAAAGCTAGTCGGTTATAATTAGGCATTGCTCAGTCAAGCCATTATTCTTTAATTTTTTAAAACTATCCAAATAAAGATTAATTTGGATAGTTACAAACTATCCAAGTAAATCCTTAACTGCACAAAGGGTTGCGTGAGTTTTGTGGACTAATCATAGTCCTGGATGAATTTTGATGATTAATCATAACTTGCTCTGAAGACTATGGTGCATAACGACAGTTTGCTAAAATTACAGAAGTGATTCATATATTTCTTTTTTTAAATCTTCAAGCCGACTGCACTGTAGGTGGGCATGGTTACGGGACCTAATGGCAATAAAGATAGTGCGTGGACATATTGAACAGAAGGGGTTTTCAATCAATGAATTTACCTTTTGTGATGACGCTACAGGCCAATAAAACGACAGCATGTTTCCAGTTTGGTTCCAAGAGGCTCCTACAGGTTTGTTAATCACTTGAAACGTGATAGTGCCCTCGTCCACAGCTGCAATATTCAGCTCAACTGTTTCATTAAGTATGGCATTTATTACATTTGAACCGTTTACTATTTTAGGCGGGAAGTTGTCTGCAAAGATAGGAAAAAAAGAAATGTGCTGATCTCAAGAGATTAAAGCTGGTATTATTTAAGTTGAACAGCGGTAGAGTCGGAGTCGTCTGAACATCGCCAAAGCGTCTTATGTTTAATACATATACATCTATTCGTGTTTTCTAATCACATGTGTTGTTAAAGAAGGATTTGTTCAAATACCACTCGTTTTCCCGCCCTATTGTGGATTTGCCGTTGAGGATACTTTTTTTTTCCTGTAGCGGCTGTCTTGGTTTGTTATATTTGGAGCTTGAAATAAATTACTGTATTTGACGACTTCTTCCTGCTTACACAACTACTCTGGTATCGAAACATATTTATCAGGTCAGTCCAACGCATTTTTTCAAGTATGCTCCTGGTAACAAGCTACAAAACATCTGCCCGTGTCACAAACCTGGACCCTGCGTGAAATCATAGCAATACTAGACTAAAAGGGCTTGAATTTTAGCAATACTAGACTAAAAGGGCTTGAAATTTAGCAATAATAGACTAAAAGGGCTTGAAATTTAGCAATACTAGACTAAAAGGGTTTGAATTTTAGCAATACTAGACTAAAAGGGCTTGAATTTTAGCAATAATAGACTAAAAGGGCTTGAATTTTAGCAATACTAGACTAAAAGGGCTTGAAATTTAGCAATACTAGACTAAAAGGGCTTGAACTTTAGCAATACTAGACTAAAAGGGCTTGAATTTTTCAAAAAATTTTAAATGGGTGCCATTTTTTTCTCGAGGTGAAGACACAAGCGGAGAGGTTAAGCTAAAACCGTTTGCGACAGACCGTCTCTCAACAGGGGCACGAAATATATTTTGCACACTTTTTTTGTCCTAGCATATTTGAAGTTTGGCGGGAAACTGTTTTATTCGATTGCGTAAATGCATTTTGTGTAGACTGGGCTATCATAACGTCGATACACTGGGGGTTCCTCAACGAGAGTTCGCTTAATAGGCGTTTCAACTAATCGATATTTTAAAAGGCCTTCAACAGTTTCAAAGTTACCACCTTATTGATTGAGATATACCGATGTATTTGCGACATGTGCAGAATTAAGTCAGCTCTGTTGCTCTTGCAAACGATTGTCGTTTTTGCGTATGGGAGCCAGTCTTTTAAAATTGTTTGCATTAAAGAGAGCAGGTCAAGCCACGCAGTAAGTCGAAGAGAAAAAAAAATTAAATGTAAGAAAACTTCAATGATTAAATCGACATTTTCTTACCCAGTGTGTTCGACTCATTCACCAGCTGGACACTTATACCTTTGGTCACCAGGCCCACAGACAAGTCGTTGGTGGAAGCCACGTCGAACAGGCACTCATGATCATCGCCGCATTCTGCTTCAGCTTTTTTTCTGAAGCTGTCGTTATGCCACGTGATGTTATCAACAAACATGGGCTCAAAAACAGGATACGAATAATTGGCCACGCTTTCATTATCAGCATAAGTGAAAAGAGACTGGAATTGGTTGATTTTCCCTAAAAGATATTAACATTAAGTAAGGCTAGAATTGGTGAGGCAAATTTACATGATACGAGATTATGTAAAGGTAAGACGAGTCAAGTTAAAACGGAAACAAAAATATATCACACTTTTGTCCGCCTTTTGGACAAATGTAGCAAACTTTTAATTTTGACTTCTCCTCTGTTTCTTAATTTTACCGCTAAACGTACTCACTTTTAACTATACAACTTGGTGAATGTAGGGTTGCTATTAGCGGAAAGTTTTGTGTTTCAAAATGTGCTAGAAACTTTTCCTAAGAGTGGCGAATGCATGTGGAAGGGTTAGTCTTCCCTTGAGCTAAGTTGCCCATATTGCCGGGGCCTTATCCAAATTTACAGTTTATCAAACAACCAGAGATCTCAGAGATCTCGTCTCTCCTCCTTAATGAGATTGTGGTCCGTTCGTGGTTACCCTCAACATTTCTTAAGCTTTCCCCAAAGGTTCACCGGTAATCATTTATGTTTTGTGAGACTGGTGTCTCCTCCAGTTGCAAATTCTCTTTTAAAGAGCCTGGTCCTTAGCTGCGACACAACAACACAAAAACAAGTGACGATCATACGCAGCACAGGGTTAATCCTTAATCCTTGGCACTTGCTATCTATTCCTCATATTTTTGTTGCAATGAAGTTAATAAGTAGTATTCTACTTACATAGGACCCCAAATCCGTAGTGAATCTCTTTTAATGATGACGAAGATGACAAAACCATCCCATCAGGCAATGTGAAGTCATCGTAAGGGTCATCGTTCCACGTTCCCAACAAACCTTTCGTGGCGTTTTTTAAGATATCAGCAAGTGTTACAACGAACGACATCATTTCCTTCTTCTCACAGAACTGCACGGACGATGTCGACGGAAAAGAAACTTGGAAACAGTTTTCCTCTGGTATTGAGACCGAAAGATTTCCACCAACCTCCACAGTNCCGTTAAAAGTGTAGTTACCACCATCCAGTGTCTTGATATGAGGATCACCCCAGAACCATCCTGTATCAAAAGAGAAACATTCCTCTGAGTTGGCTTAATATTGCAAAGAATCTGAACTATAAAGAGTAATTGGTTTGAGCTCAAGAGTAACAGTTTATAACGTTCTTTCTAGAAAACTCTCTAATATCCAACATTTCAGAAAGGTAATTAAACCAAGAAAGCATTTACAGGAGATTACATTTACGAAAGGTAATTAAACCAAGAAAGCAGGAAATAACCTGACAATATTCAAATGAAATGGCACGAGATGCTACAACATGACTTGGTTCATCTATAATATAACTAACATCATAGCATGATCCGTCCGACCCCGCCTGCGCAATCCCATAGAAAGCCATAGCGAAAGCTGACGTGTGCAGGGCCAGACAGGTTGACGTGAGCCGGTCCGGACTGAAAAAGCCGACCGGCCCTGCTGCCCTGACTACGCTTTGTTGCAAAAACTTAAGAAAAATAGAGAAAAAACATTACGTTTTTAAAGAAATTTGAAGTTTCTTGTTCTGACTCGAAAAAATAAATGACTGCTCGTGTGTCAGCGTGTATCCGTCTATCGCTTCGTATTTAGGTCGAAATTCTCAACACTTAATCGTCGTGTATAAATGTTTATTGACTAAGTTTGAGCAGGCCGGTCGGCCGGTCTGTGCGTAATGATCTGAAGCCAAATATTTTCCCGTCCGGCCCGACGACACCCAATCAATAAGTAAATATTATGTAAAACTCACGTCTAATTGGAGGCCTATACAGTGAGCAGCTGTCAGACGGACGATAAGTATAGAACAAATTGCAGAAAGGTAGATCTACACAGCAATACTGGTAAGCCTGTTCGTCTGTGTAAAAGGTTTGAACCTTATTGTACCAGTAATAGAAAACTCGGCACTTGTACTCGTCCACCGTCAGGAGGGCCCTGCTTGAGGGAGGCCCAGTCTTCCCATTGCGTGGAGTAACAGCACTGTTGTCTCATCCGAACACCTACTAGTCCAGTACTCCTGATGTAGAGAAAAAGGAACCTGGATCGCCTGGACTGAAAACACCAGTCTGGCCATGAGTTCCGCCAATTCCACCTGAATCGTCCCCGATCAAACCATGCCTGCCAAGCAGTACAGGGGCAGGCCATTTCCCGGTGTGATTTTATGAGTCGGTCATACCAGTAAAGGAATCCCGAACATTCGTTAAGAATGACCCAACTAAAGCATTTCTTCAGTGTACCTTGTCCATCGCTGTCTTCAATTCTCCAAAAGTATCTTCCCAGCAAACCTGTGTTTCCTTCCTTCTTATCGAGATCATACATTCCAAATGTGCCAGAACTACGATCAGAAACATTTACCTCAAAAACCTCCTTTCGTTATCGTCATTTTTATCAATCAAATTATAACCTCGAGATTTTTATTGGTTGACAGTTGATTAAGGTGATTCCGGAATGATCTCTCGCGAAAAGAAATCGATAGCAAATAAATTCAATCTTATTAAACGTTTGAAGTTTTCCTTCAGTAGGATGTCGATTAAATGGACGATTCGTTTGAGGCCTTGAGCTATTGCATTACATTTTTGTTCCAAGCTTTCGCCGATCTACGGCATAGTCAGCGAATGTTTGATGCCGCGGTCGGGGAAAACTTGGAACAAAACGAAATGCATTAGCTCAAGATCTCAACAGAATCGCCTATTTAATTGTTCTTATATAGATTAACTGGTTGGTGAAAACTTAGCAACAAGATAGGTGTAAATATTATTAAATAATGGTGAATGATTTTAGGCAATCAGCCGGTGTTCTTTGTGTTTTCATACGCCATTGGCTGATAGAGATTTTTTCGGATATTCAGCACTTATTG